ACCCAACATCAACCTACACCACACACACTATTGTTGAAAAGACAGCTCTAGCAAGAGATGAGGCACGGCCTTCAGTCCAAACACACGGATCTGCTGGTTCATGGACCACCGGTAAATTGGAAAATACTCCAAGCAGCTCCCCCGGGGCTGTTCCAAAAACCACGTTCCTTGGAGGGCACAGCATACCAAAATGAGGACGGATGTCCTGGCAGAATGAAATCAATTGGAAGTCCACTATAGACAGGTTGTTTTTTGCACTCGATTCTGAATAGGTTTCTGTGCATGCGTCAACATCTGTCAACATTTGTCTCCAACAGTCCTTGCGCACATTGTGTTTGACTGCTGAACGGACTCATGCTGCCGGAAGCCGGTTGAAGCACAAATCGACCGACCGCTTGTAGCTTGGTTAATGAGTGTCCATGAAGCGCACTTGATGGCAAAAAATGCCAAAAAGCCGGATTGGCTCTTGCCTTTCATCAAATATACCAGCGCCAGCCTAGGCAACCAATATACTATTATATTGCAGATGGTTGAAGCACTTGGAAGAAGCAAAGCCACGATATATAATGATTGTTGCAAACCACTGCTCAAGTCTAGTGGCACTAGGCCAGCTGGTGAGTTGATGTCCATGGCACTTGATCGTTTCCGTAGACGTTTCCGACCAGGCAACAAGTTAGCCTTGTCATACAAAAAGTCAAACCGGCCACACTTCTTTCGTCCTCTCCTCATGGCCCGTGTGATATTGGCCTTGCCAGCATAGAACTCCAACACGTCGTATTCCTCCCATGTTTCACGGAATAGGTGTTGTAAGGATTTGCACGGAAGACTTTGTGAGTTGGGTTCGATATATACAAGCCTGCTCCAAATCATAGAGGTCTTCTGTGAAGAAAATGAGTGCAATCAGCAGCAACACCTTCAAAGCTGCACCATTAACAACCCTACCATACCCGAACATCGATCATCAAAGTCGGATTGCAAGTGCAGGTGAAACCTTGACGCAGCTGAACACATGCAACTTTAGCCACGCTGCTTTCGGGGCCCCCAACTCTTTCAAGTCCCAAAACAATACGTCCATATTTGCAATAGCCATTGCAGGTGATCGATAGAACTGCCCCACTCAGGCTGGAGTTTTGGAAACGCTGCAGGATCTTGCGGTGCAATCAAACAGTGCGTCCCACTCTGAACTCAGCAGGCCCAATCCGGAACAGAAATCAATTTAGCCAGCACGACGTTTCTTCTTAGTCTGGCCGAGGCGTACTCGCCAAAGGTTCCCACGGATCCCACGCCGAGCAGGCATTCTGGCCTGGGCGGACCACAATCTAAGACACAAAAAAGACGGCCTGGGCAGGCCGCTATCAATCTGCATGGGGTTCAAGAGTCACCGCAGGATGCACATGTTTTCTTCCTAGCTGCAGCTCCAATGCCCCCTGTTTGAAACGCGATCAGTGGAAACCTTTGGCCCTTGGCACAGCTGGCGCAAAGCAAACAACAAAAACCTAATGTCTTGATCACATGAGGTATCCTGAGGTATGTACTGCCTGTTACCTGCTGTGCAGTGCAACAATGTGCAACAGTGAGTCGATTGAAAAACCCACCGTCCCCAAAACTATATTTGCCAACAGGCTCATCGACCTGTTCAGCCCCCTCAGGCGACAAACTCATTATTATGCATCCGCAGCAGCTGCCAATGCAGAGCGACCAATGTCCTTCAAGGAGGACAGCTCATCGGGGTCAACTTCTGACATGCCGGCCTTGTTCATGTGGGAAGCCTCATTTCACAAACGCTCGGACTCTGAAGGGGCACATATCTTCCAATCACGCACGATGGACAATCCTAAAAAGTAAGAGCGTACGAAGTCAAGTGGCCATGATGGTTGCAAGAGAAGCTGCGACCGCTGTCCGGTGGTAATCTTCACTGTCGGGCATGTCGGGAAAAGACAAATTAAAGACATCCTTCTTTGCCGCAACGACTGTGAGACCGCAAGACTGCCTGTGCCAATAGATGTTGGGCCTGAATACACCCTTTGGATAAACAAGCTCTGCTTTCAACATCTTCTTGAAATCTTCTAGGGGAGCCGAGGTGTCAATCCTCTGACACAGGCCCACCAACACTTCCATGAGACACTGGTGCGCCGATGGGGAAAGAGCACCATCGGTAAACACCAATGGTGGGTTCCTTGCAGGGGAAGATGGTTCATCCACCTGCTTGGCCTTTGTGGCCTTGCGTTTGGAGCTCTTGCTCACCCCACCCTCTGCAACCTCAACACGCGATCGTTTTTGACCGGTGTTTGATTTCTTCTCTGCTCGTCCTTTGCCCTTCCCGTTTTTGCCACCCCCATTCCTAATCTTTTTCACTGACTCTGTGCTACCTGAAGCCTGCGCAGTGCGAGGCTTGCGAGGCTTGGCTGACACACCTGACTTTCTTGCCTTGGCTCCCTTGGCCTTCTTCACCTTTTTCAGCGCTCTGCGACCCTTTTTCTGTTTCCTTTTGGGATTTTGTTTCAACTGATCACGCAGAACTGCTTCTTTTGACTCATCCAGCTGTTTGGGGGCCTGCTGCTCAGCTGACGCCTTTGGCTGTGCTTGTGCAGCACTTGCATCAGATTCTTCCCCCAAAACTTTGGTAACAGTTTTGGCGGCCTTGGCCTTGCACGCAGTGGGTACACCCTTAACCCTTTGCCCCTGGTACTTCTCTCGACGTGCTTCAGGATCAATTGATGGGGAAACAGGAACACTCAGCTCTTCTGCAGACGGAACTTTTGGAGACGTCGTCATGGCCTGAGTCTCATCAGTGTCCCGAACTTGCGCTCCTGCGGTGGACAGCAAGAGAGGGGTGGCAACAACTAAAGTAACAAAGAATGCAAAGGATACCTGAACAACTTGACTTTGGATGCTGGTGCAGCCTGTAGTTCCCAATGGATTGGGCTCAGAACATCGTGTAGTCTCCAAAGGCTTGGGCTCAGCTGCTCTTCGCTCACGAAGCCTGAGTAGTCGGTTGGTGTCATATGTTTATCCTATATGATTTAAGATGCAGTGCACTCCAACTAAACCAGTGATCCACTTAGAGAAGATCAGTAGGCTTCCCGCCTTTGAAGCTGCACCTTCTTCTCTTCAAGCTTCTGGCGGATGGAGTCGGTGTCAGCCCCAACTTCTTCGGAGCTTGCCTGTTCACCTCAAATGCTAACGGCGCAAACAGAATAGAATAAATAGTGAGACTCACGTTGTTCCATTGCAAACTCACATTCCCCACCACAAAAATTACATAAACAAAGGTTAATCACCAGCAGTCGAAATAGCAGCCGCATCCGGGGAGACAATCGGAGCTTTTGGCTCTGGACAGGCTTCTGGGTGATGCCGTTCATCTGACTCCACTTTGCCGCCAGCAGGTTGAGCTAAGTCGCCGGCAACTTGACCCTCTGGAGTAAAAGGAGCTTGGGAATCATGGACTTGACCCTCTTGAGTAAAAGGAGCTTGGGAATCATGGAGGATCTCTGGTTCTACAGGAGCTTTGGGCATCTCAGATTCCATACATTCCTCCTTGATTTCAATCACTGGCGGAACTACATCTCGGGCACGCCTAGGGCTTGCATCATCGCCATTGTCCGAATCTGTGGTATCATCCTGGCAACTGAGGACTCTTTGAGAGGCCCAAGCAAGCAAAGTGCTTTTTGAAACAAAATGATCTCTTTAATTCTCCCCGCCTCTGAAGCATCACCATGTTTGCGATTGATGGCATCAGCGATCTCCTCACGATTTAAGGGTGTGAAACAAACTCTATTGATCATCTACATATTGACTTCATCATTCGTGCACTACCACCTTTCCTCCAACATCGGGTTGAGCACAATGCAGAGCCTCTGAAATGTCTTGTCCTTGATGCGAGAACGGATTGGAGATCATGGATGGAATGGGACACGGCCGGGGAACCAAAATGCAACACAAGTCTATAAAATCAACTGAGGGTCCCTGGGCAACTCTCTTCTACGAGCCTTTCGCTTGACATGCCCTAGATGCTTCTTAATAGTCCACGAATCCTTGGCTAGCTGATCATCACCTACATTTTGGCCATTCAACTCGTACACGCGCAAGATCTCGTCTCGTAGCTGGTCTACCTCTGGGAGCTTCATGTGGTTCTGGTCGAACATCATGCGCAGAAGGGGCTCCAACAAGGTGGCATTGAGAATGCACGTGGCATTGTCACACCCATCACCTGTTTTTTCATGCAAGAGCCCCTTCCCAGCCCTCAGTGGTCGCCGCAAATCCTCCACCGAATCCCAAATGTGGGAAGCACCTGTCACATCGACAGGCGCGTCATCCTTCTTCTCATGACGGCTTCTCCGGAACGACATGTGAAGGAACCCAATCTACGGCTAGAACGAGACTCACCCCTTCGGTAATGGTCAAAATGTGGCTGCGGAGTCACCACAAAATGGCAATGATTGATCAAAGACTGAGCAAACAGCACAACTTGGAGGTGAAATAAGATCAGGAGCACCAAATGGAGCTCTGAGATCCTGGCTCCTTGTGCATATCAATAGCTGCGCTCATGATGCGTCAAGCAAAGGAGGATCAACGAATATACTCACAAAAATGATGCCAATGCAATTTTATGCAATGTTATTCTACAAAAAACAAGCACACACTTGGAATCTTCTGTCTTAAGTCTCTATATGTGCCTTGGAATGCTTCAATTTGCTGGAGCCATGCCAGAACCTGGCTTTCCTCAGCAAACCCTGGTTTTGCTCTAAAGTTGGCTGAAACCCTGGTTCCTGTTTTCCATCCCACAAATTTGTAGGTTCTTCGCTTACCAGGTATATAGACCCTCCAAAGTACTCTATAGAAACGAACTGGAACATGACCCTAATCAAAACGGGTCATTACTTGCACCCAGATATTCTTTGGCCATTTTTTTGAGCCTATAGATTCCTCAGCACTACTATATATGCGTTACTAGACGGTCTACCTCTCAGCCTTTGCCGATGTAAATCCTCGCTCTGCAGGAAAGGAGGTGAAGCATGCCGTGGTCACGGTACCAGCGTCTTGGGCGTTTGGTTTTGGTGTTTGGTCCGAGCCGGTGGCGTCTCGGATCTCGATCTGTGTCCGACAGCGACAGGTTCGCTCGCGTCAACGGGGAGGGAGTCAAGTGGGATGAGTGTGGGATGAGTAGCATGGTTTGAAGGATGGCGGGGTGTGGGACACCCTTCTCCCGGATAGAGAGAAGATGAGTGATGAGTGAGGACATGACCTTAGGACACGTGGGACATGACACATCGTGCCGGGGATCAGTTTCTCACACAGACCTCGCGCAGCTGGCGTTTGGGGGTTTGGCAGAATGGCCCATGTTCATGGTTTCATGGTTAACCCGAGCACTGGAACTGCTGCATCGACGGGGACACCCAGCAGGCTCAGCTTGCTTTTGGCTTTGATCACGTGAGAACACGTGGCACTTGTCACTCGCGTTGGAATCCAAGTGATATGGTTTTGGCAAGGATGAAACGTGCATTGGCAACCATGAAAGGTGCGTCAAAGAGGTGCATGGTTGGCAGGGGGTTCGCGAATTCGAACAGGATATTAAAGACGTATATACCCTGTGCATATTTGGGAATACCTGGATCTTCCAAGCGGCACAAGCAATTTTGATTGCCTTTGTGTCTTTTCGCAAAGAGGATGTTCTTTGCTGTGAAAAGACAGAAAGCGGGAAATTTTGTGGTATTGAGGAGAGAGAAGCAAAAAACAACAACGTGTTTAGGCGTCTTTAGGCGTCCAATCAGGGCGTTTTTCCCATCCATGGATTTTGAGCACATGTTTTCAAATTTGAACGCTCTTGTTTGATTACCATGTTTTTTCACCACAAAATGCCTCCGGCAAAACCTTTGAGCCGTTTGAAGCTCCAGGTCCAGGTCATGCTTTCGGAAGACTTGTGCGAAACAGGTTTCTACACACCCAAACCCACCGAGCTGCTTCGTCCGAGGCCTACTTCAACGATGCCCAGCGGCAGTCCACCAAGGATGCGGGCACCATCTCCGGAATGAATGCCGCGTTCTCAAAAGGGCGGCGCCGATGGGACGGTCCCGGGACTGGTCTCGTTCGTACCTGCGACTTCGAGCGTCCATGGGATCCCGGTTCGGGTCGCAGGGCCCCAGTCGTTTGGTCCGGCCTTTCTGCTCGCCAGTTCTGGTGGGTGACGATGTTTGGGATGATACCAGGCGGACCAGAGAAGTCTGAGGGCCTTCCTTCACTTCGCTACTGCACTTTGTTTTTTTGTCCTAGTATTTGCCAGTAGTATTGTTGTCGTCGGTAAAAGAGGATCACTATAGTTTTGAGAAAGGACTTCACTAATCATTATCATCATCATAATCCACTGTCAATGGTTATGAGATGTTATGAGATTAAGACCCAAAGCAATAATATGTATCATAAGTTTCAATGGGGTGCTATCCATGGAGGTAGTCGGGGTGCCCGAGCGTCACATCCACTCCCAGACTTTTCACACCACCCCGAGCTCTGTGACTCCTTTGTTTTGAGAAGAGTTTCTGTCAGGTGTTGAGAATCATCAACGAGCCGACGGCCGCTGCGATCGCTTATGGCTTGGACAAGAAGACTGAGAAGATCCTTGGGATCGCCACAAGATCCTTCGTCCGCCGGTCGCGTGTTTGCGTCCCAGCCATAGCGTGCTGGGCCTCCCGATTCGGCGAAGAGGTTCAAGGGTCGACCCTTTTGTGGCATGGCCAAAGGTTGAGCAACATAAGGGTCGTCTTCATCCAGATTCCAGGTAACTACCTCATGCGACCAGCTCACCATGTGAATCAGTTGGCATCACCTGGGCAGTCGGGAACGTCACCTGTGGCCTTCCAGAGTTTGGACAGCGGCCTGGCTGGCGAACGCAGCCCAACCACCTCATACGGGTCCGAAACGCAGGACGACTCGTTGGGGTCCCCTCTCCGCGTTTTCGAGCTTCGATCCGTCCGCTCTCCGTGGGTTTTGGATGAAGAACATGTCCAAATCGCTTTTGGGGGATAGCTGAAGACATACCCTAAGGCTCCAGGACCATCCGATTCGGATGTCCAGACCCCCCGGCAACGACCATTCTCTGGTTTCGTACGTACTCACCTCCAAGACCATCCTCAGGAGGTACCCGGACCCTAACTAACAGCAAACATGGGTCGCTAAAAATATCAACCATGGGTCGCTCAAAATATCATGCGTATACATGGGTTTGCAGATGTTTGCAGCTTACGATGTTGATTGTGTCTCGACTTGAGAGCTGCGACAGCTAAGGAACATCTTGGTCTATGATCTGGGTGGTGGTATCTTGGTGGAGCAAGCTATGCGTGGGTCGTCTCAGACTGGCTGGTCTCCCATACCGTTTCCTGAGCGTCAGCTGAGCCCCCAAGTCGAACACCAATCTGAAGTTTCGCGGACACAAACAGAGATCCTCCATGGGGTTGAATAATATGCCTAGATCTTCCAACTGAGCAAACATGTTGCAGTTTCAAAGGGCTTATATTAAGGGTGCCCTTGTCACATCCACTCACTGGATGGGACTAAACACACCCCACCAAAACTCCATGGTAGGTATACCTCTATATAATATATACATTGAATGGTTGAAAAGGGATCAAATGGGGTGGTACGCGATTAACACCAATCCGTAGGTCCCAGTAGGTCATACCATGGTGAACTTCATGGAACACCATGGTGATCGATATATTTCAATGAGACTGGTTCCTCCATATGGGGACTCCCGGGGTCGACCGAAACGTCGCAGGGCGTTAGCAATGGGACCATGCGATTGCGGACCATCCTCCGCAACGGATCCAAACCGCACGGGTGAACCGTGTGGAACTGCTGAAGGTCCTGAAGGTGTGTGGTGATTCAGTCCATGGCGCAGTTGTTTGATTGCACCCCCCCACCATGGCGCTTTCAGACCATGACCAGCTGGTGAAGACGCCTCGACATGAAGATGGAGACCAGTCAGCGCACGACGTTCAGGCGTGGACCACCAGATGCGCATGGCTGACTGTGCTTGGGTTCAGCTGGCCCAGAGGAATCAGCGTGGACGAACTGGACGAACCTCGATGTGAACGGCGAAGCAGTGTGAACGTGGCAGAGCCTGCCTGGAGAAACCCAACGCAGCCGGAAACGCAGCGGATGGCGTCCTCAAGACTGACTGATCACAGCTCCCTATCACAGCTCGGTTGGTACTGTGAGATCAGTTATTGGCATAAGCAGCGTCCCAAGGACAACCAGAACACGATGAATTACTCTTTCCCAAGACCCGGAATGGACCAAACATAGAAGTGTCAAGTTGTGGTCCCTTGTTCCTGTCCAATGCGTCTGCCATCGAATCAACAAACGCACATCAACAAACGCACATATATAATTACTTATTCTCCGAGTCCACCGCAATACCAGCACATTCCAACACATGTTTTCTGGTTACACCAGAAACCATTGTTATAGGTTCCAAAAGAGCCTGGCCAGGAGCGTTCTGATATATATATATATATAGATGAAGCTTGAGTAGCACAGAAGAGAAGACGGTGGCTGCTAATTTGCCAGTGTTATTCCAAACCAAGGGCTTTTTGCGAATGTTTCCTGTTCCGGGGAGTCTTGGTATGTCAATGCCCATTACTTTAACAGGGAGACCCCGAATTAATCCGTTTTGCGGCTTTGCAACTTGATCCAGCACTGACTTCTCCCAGCTTAGCTTGCAAACTTCTCTAAAAGCTCAGGGCGACCATGGTCACACCAAAGTGTGACTACGTGACCTTGTCTTGGGATCAAGGTATTGTCAAAGCTGGATATGTTTCCTTCGTCCACGGCGATCTTTCAAGGGTTTACCCATATATTTAATACACTTCGACCACATCGATGTAGTTTTGAGATATCAACTTTTTGCTCAGACCACTCCTCAGTGGCCAAGCTGGACATGCAGCATGAAGGGCATGATGCTGGAGAGTACATAGGTAGACACCAAGTTTGTTTTATTTTACAAAAGGTGGGATATGCTGGTAAGAACATACGTGGTTGAGCATGCATTTGCAGTGCTTTGTTGACTATGCAGGATGATGGTTGAGCGCCATGCAATCTTGTTGCTCGTGGTCTCATCTCGACTACCTGGATCCATCCACTGAACCCTCCAAGTACCTTCAAAATATATGCTATATACACACAAACACCAAGCTTCCCGCGGTCCTGGTCCATATTATCCTTTCCCTGCATGTTGGAGTCAGGCTTCGGCCAAATGAATTTCTGTATCCTTCACATGTACATTAAGCCGGTTCTTGCGTGACTGAACCATCCCCTGATTTGAGGTCACCTACAGGCCTGTTGGACAGGTCAGTGCATGCGACTCCATAATTGGTCACGTACTGAAGAAGCTGGAACAAAACTATGCACTCTACAATGTCGTGCAATTGGCGCGATATACCGATATACTATACTTGGTCTAAGGGGCCGTGACGCGTCCTTTTTTCGGCTCCAAATCTTCTTTTTCAGCGCCAAAGAAGAAAGAACACACCAAGGAAATTCCCCCCCGCGAGGTACCTTCGACCCCCCCGGCTGCTCCGAGGTACCTTCGATGTCTCACTGCTCACCATCGATAACGGTGTCTTCGAGGCCGTCCACCGCGCACCGTGTTTAGCGCGTTTGTCCCCGGTTCGCTTCGGTTCGAAGAAGCACCGTCCAGCGTGTTCCGTCCGTGTTCTGCCGTTGTTTTGGAGGGGAAGAAGTGTTTTTTGTCCTTGAATATGGTTTCAAGAAGACATTGTTTACAACTGCAATTACATCAAATTACAACAATGAGGCACTATATTATCCAGTGAGTGGGATTCAAGGTTCGAAACTCTTTGACAAGTTAAATGGTTCATAAGGTGTCCACCTTTCATATCAATATAAATCCACATCCATAATATATACACGTATTTCTGTTATCCAAGAATCTCTGGACATTTACATAGCCTTCTTTGGTATTTGTTCCTTTGCTGTTTATTGTTTCATTGCATTTTGTAATTGTCAATGTTTGTCGAAATAGTAAATTATAATCAGAATATTCAACTCATAGTTATATCAACTGTTGATATTCAACTCATAATTAGTGCCATTACTATACCTATAGAATTATACATTCCCTGAGGATCCAAGTACTCTCTCAGAGAGTGATCGGGAAAACAGGGTCAAATAATGGACCTGGGCCCAGGATTGCCTCAGAATGGTCTGACCTCTCTCAGGAAGAGTTGGCTCGAAGGTCGCTTTTTCTCGCCAAGGTTCACGGAGAACCCGTTCATGTTTGATCATGGTTGCATTTCTGCAACATCATGTGAGACATCATGACATCATGAAACTGTCTTTTGTTTTTGCCTACGCCTTTGTTGTCATGGGCTTGCTCCGTGCAGCTGCACTCAGAGGTGCCTCTAGCCTCCCTAGGGCCTGTTTTGCTGATTTGATGTGTGGAAACATGTGGATTGGGTAGTGCACTAGCATCGTCTATCACACCAACACAAACCTAAGTGGTAGTGTGTCACCCCACTTGCAAATCAACACCAACTCCTGTTGGTGAAGAACATCATGACTGCGTGCTTATGTAGCTGTGCACGGCTCAGCACGGCTCCATCACCGCATCACGGTGTCCTTAGTGGCTCTGGCAACATGGCAGCCCTTGTTGTTGAGCATCGGGGAGATGATGGTGCTCGATTGATTCAATCTCCCATGAAATTTCGAGCATCGGTTCCTTGATATGCAAAAGGGCACAACCATATAAGGCTAGGAAAACAAACGGGTTTATGCATGTGTGTGCACTTGGCTAGTTTGTGGCTTGTGGCCTGGGTGAAACCCAAATTGCAATTATGTTGGAACCTTTTTGGCAAGCATGTTCCAAGCGACTGATGAAAATTGGGGAAAAGCTGTTGCTGAACCATACCCAGGCAATTGCCCAGCTATGCTACACTGGTATCAAAGCCTTTGTCGAACAGTGCTCGCCGGATGTCATGTCGGACCCGGTGCTTTTGATGCAAAGGTTCATGCACTATCCAAGCTTGAGTTTGATCCCCACTGTGTTTCTTAAGTCAAGTGACCTTGCCACATTCAAGGAGCGGAGTGTCTGTGATTGGGAAAGAGCACATGTCAATGCAATGGTGGCTGGCCTATGCACCCATGAAGTGGACGTTCTGTATTGGATTATATTGTTCATTCTTTTTCAATCCATATCATGCCATATTGCTTCAGGTCTATGAGGATGACCTGGAAAGGAACTATTACATCATTCAGGAACTCCTCATTGCCCTTAGAGAAGTGTTGCCGGGTGGCATTCCACATGTCAAGGATTTTGAAGCCCCTTGCCTGCACATATTTGCCGGCACTTCAGCTTGTTTTTGCCCCGGTCCATTAGCCCACATTTCAATCATATGGCCCCCTTTCTCTCGATCTGGACCCACTGGGGTGGCATTTGTACTTGGTGATGATTAACAACAGGTTGAAGACACATGTACATATATTGGTCTAAGGCCGGATTCCTACTTTCCACTTTGCTTCACAACTGGCACCATGACCTGTACAAAACCCGTGGTGGCAAAGGAAAGATCAAGGAGCCATGCATGCCAAGTCCTTGTTCCCAGTGGTGCCATTCCTCACCATCTGCCACACTCTTGAGGACTGGGCCAATCGGGAGAGCTTGAGGCTTCGCCAAATGCTCAGCCATTTGCATCACCTATGCAAAAAATCACCAACCAGCAGGCTGGTCATTGGTGGAAGTGCACTAATAGGCCTAGGGGGGCTACTGGCAGGAATCCGAAGATCCAAGTTCTGAAGACGCTCTACTTTCGGTTTTGCAAGCAGGCGAACTGCAAGTTTGAAAACCCTTACAGTTGCAACCTAAAAAGGTGCAAACATGTGCAATGTCTTTCACCTTGTTGGTAGGTGAATGGCATGCTGGATGGTCAGGTTGATGATGCAGACCCCGATTCTGAGGAGAAGGTTCACCACAGCAATCTCTCATCTACGTCTAAGCCTAGGCATGATTTGTTGGTGCAGGTGGCCCCACTTGTGGTTGATCTTGATGATGAGCCTATTATTCAGGCAAATCCTGCCGTCATTGAAAGTTGCAACTCCATCCGGATGCTTAAATCTTTTGTGTTCAGGTGCCACTTGAGGTGTTGACCATCAAGGCAGTGACACTGGGTCTTGTGACACCAGTGTCATTCAGATTGGGTTTATGGTTGTAGTATTTTATTTTCACCTTGATCAGGATGAAGAGGTGTGGCCCTCAAACCATAGATTGCTCATGTTCTCTCACTTGTGGTCCAATTGGACTTCATGCTGCAGGATGTCGATACCAATGTTTGCACTGAGAAGGGCCTTGAGGTACGTATGTCTGCCACACATGCTCCATCGGGTGCACATTAGTGATGGTTCATTTTGCACTGGAGGCTGAAGCTGTGCAACCTCTTCCGGCGCCTACCGAACCAAACAGCTATGCAGTGGAAGCTTGGGCCAAAGAATTTGCCAGTATAGTGTCTGTGTGTGTGTGTTTTTGTTGTGGTGGTGGTGGGGGTCCTTGTTCCCAATCCATTGGAGGCTGAAGCTGTGGAACCTCTTCCGGCACCTGCCGAAACAAACATCTATGCAGTGGAAGCTTGGGCCAAAGAATTTGTTGCCACTATTGTGTATGTCTTTTTTGGTGGTGGTGGTGGTGGTGGTGGGGCTCCTTGTTCCCAATCCATTGAACAACGTGCCCAGGATTCCCAGTTGGATCTCTCCAATGGACCTGAGGCCTGATGTTAGAATAGTGACTACATACTTAACCAACCTCATTTGTTTGCAGGGTTTGGGTGAGATTGGTGCCAATAACGCCGGCCCAGTGGACAGGAACTTGGAGGCACCTAATTTTATTGGCGTGTTGAGTCAAGTCCATGCCCAAGCTTTCATATCCCTGCCTTGTGGTGGACAGGCTGTGGAAGACTCGCAGCTGGCACCTCCGCAGGTGAGGGATTGCATATGGGCAGTCATGTCACATGTGCTGCCTACAAATCTTTCTTTGGCTTGGAACCCTGCAGCAATGAAAGCCAATTTCACAAATGACTGTAGGTGGAACCTCCTGCTGATCCTCATGATCAAGTCATGGATGAAATGCAGGACAGTGGTTTACTTGTGCCGTGTGGCTTAACATGTGTGTTTGAATGCAGACTGTGCCCTGGGAATTGCCTGCAGAGATTGGGCTACAGGCCTTTGTCTGACATGGTCTCTTGAAAACTCATTGTTGCAGGGCCATTGCAATCCTCCAGAACCTTTTGTTCCCCTCCGTATTCGAGTACGGGCTTTTTTTGAAAGATGGCCAGGTGCAGTGAAGGCCAGACCCATCAAGACCTAGTTAGATTAAATGTTAGATTAAATATTTCTCCATGTGCCAAAAAATAGAAGTTTTCTTGACTTCCTTCTGCAGAGGCTCCACCTGGAAATGATATCGATATTGAAGACAGCCAGGCCAGAAGAATTGGTGGCCCTGGAGATTTAGTTAGTTGAATGCTTGCAAGGCATCCATCCTGTTGACCCGAGTTAAATGTCCCACCCAATTGTCCGACCTCAAGGCTCCAGAAGATGCGGCCGATCTTGCACCTGTCGCATGTGCAGAGAAGAAGGCATGGTGTGCTTCTAGGGTGTTTCCTGCATGCAGATGCAGTGCAAATGCTTTAAACTATCATGCATACATGTGCTAGGTTGATGGGGAAAAGCTTGTTGATAACAACCAGCCCCACAATGAGGAGAGGGCACCCCTTCCCAATCCTTTCTAGAATGAATTGAGTAAATGTTTTACATGTGATGTTTGTTCCTGTGGTATTTGGTGAAACTCCTTGCGGAATATATTTATTCGCTCGTGCAAGGCTGATCCATTGGATTTGGATGCACAGGTACCACAGGTGGGGTTTGGTGAAACATTGAATCCGGTTATATGGCATGTGCTATACATGTAAGCTTCTTCCTTGCCAAGTGTTGAGATGATGTGTGTACACATGTTTTGACCAAGTGTCACATGTGCGAATATGTATCCGTATATGTAATGTGGAAGGTTCCTGCAGAAATGCCGGACTTGGCAGACCAGCAAGCTAAGATTCGAAAGACAGCTCGGGAGGTGCATGTGGTTGATTGATGCCCTGATTTTTCTGTTTGATCAGTTTTTGTATGTGTGTATGTGCACACTGCAGTGGTCTCCATCTGGAGGCCCAAGAAGATGCAGCAGCTGCCAAAGTAATGAAGAAACGGGGCCTAGGGGAAGCTGTTGAACAGAAAGCACCCAACAAAAAGCAGAGGAAGAACAGCGCTAGTGAGGCAAAGCCTGCTGAACCAATGCCCAAAGCAAAAGCAGCCAACAAGACTGCACCAAAAGCATCCCCGAAAAAGGCCAGCAGCAAGGCAAAGCCCTGTGCCAAGACTGCTCCAAAGTCCAAAGCCGCTCCGAAGCAAAGCAAAGCAGCAGCAAGCAAAGCAGCAGCAAGCAAATCAGCAGCAAGCAAATCAGCAGCAAGCAAAGCAGCAGCAAGCAAGCAAAACAACGGACATCTAGAGGATGACCTCGAATGCCACCCTAGCCCCACAGCAGACAAGAAGCTCAAAGACAAGGAAAAACG